AATTAAAAAAATATATTTTTAAAAAATAAAATAAAGAATTAACCTGGACACAGGGTACCCCCCCGTCAGTACAACCCTGGCGGCCCTGTCCTCTGTGGTTCACGAAGCCTGCGTTGGCCCTGGAAGCAAATGACCCGTGCGGTGGGAAAAGCAGGACGTTCTACCTGCAGGGCCGATGGGAGACAGTGTCCGCGGGTGCTGGGTGTTAGGGGTGCGTGTATGTGGGAAACACAAAAGAACCCAGAAGGGTCCAGGGACAGTAAGTGTCATTTGTTCTCCTGTCATCTCTTGTTTCATCCAAACATGAATCAAGTTTCTAAGCAGGAAAAAGTACACACACCGTCTTCAATGTCTTCTTTGTTTTTTATCAGCCGAGAAGGTGTGCGTCCCGTGGACCGCACACACTGAGACGGCCCGGGGCGGGGGGGGGGCGAGGGCTGGACGTCCTGCGGGCCCCGAGCTTCCTTACCTGAGCTCTTTGGGATCAAACACCAATTTCACGTCGTTGACGATCGTTGGCAGGTACTTCAGCGCTGCCCCCTGCAAACCAAGACCAAAGGAGACTGCTGAGCCTCGTGTCGTTGGGCAAATATTAACACAGATTTGTAATTACTGTGCGGAACCACACGCCTCCCGCGAAGAGGACGAGCGCGCGCTAGGTGAGCGGCTGACGGCTGATGAAGAGAGAGCAAAGGAAAAAACCGATGACCCACACACCGGCGCTCTGCTGCAACCTCAACACAGAACGCTGCCAGCAACATCAACAGAGGCCACACTTAGTGCCCGCTGACCAACCCCCGCACTGCGCGTTTCCTCCTCAGCCGGGCACGGCGGCAACACGGGAAGGCCTGTGCCCTCAGCAGCACCCTCGCCCGTCTGATCCCTGCACGCTCTCGTGTTCAGCAATTAAAACGACTGTGTTTGTCCCACTGCAAAACTGTCTTCCATATCCGTACAGCCCTTACATCCGTGCCTCTGATATCCGGGCCGCCCTTACATCCGGGCCTCTGATATCCGTACAGTCCTTACATCCGTGCCTCTGATATCCGTACAGCCCTTACATCCGTGCCTCTGATATCCGTACCGACCTTACATCCGTGCCTCTGATATCCGTACAGCCCTTACATCCGTGCCTCTGATATCCGTACAGCCCTTACATCCGTGCCTCTGATATCCCTACAGCCCTTACATCCGTGCCTCTGATATCCCTACAGCCCTTACATCCGTTCCTCTGATATCCGTACAGCCCTTATATCCGGGCCTCTGATATCCCTACAGCCCTTACATCCGTGCCTCTGATATCCCTACAGCCCTTACATCCGTGCCTCTGATATCCGTACAGCCCTTACACCCGGGCCTCTGATATCCGTACAGCCCTTACATCCGGGCCTCTGATATCCAGGCCGCCCTGAAGTAGGAACCATTTTTTCCTGTAGTAATTTTACCCCCTATATTGCTATGATGTATCTTCTAGAAAACCTACACTTGCAAAAACAATAGAGTGGTGGTAATAATGTTGCGATGCACTATGCCAGGACCCTGGTACAATGTATCTTTAATCCCCTCAGGCCTCCTACAGGAAGTGAGCGGTGTTGGGAGGCAAGGAAACCTCCATCAATTACTTTGCCCCTCATCACACCGCCAGGACTGAGCTGGGCCGGAGTTAAAGGTAGGTCTGTGGGCAGCCAGAGCCTCAGCCTCGGTCTCTATCTGGTTGGGAAAAGTGCCTGATTGTAAGTGTCCTGACCGGACGGCCCGGCCCGAGCTGTCACTCTCGGTGACCCCTCACACCAGGCCGGGCTCCCCGTCCCTGAATGAAGCAGAGGAAGATGACACTCAGGCCAAACACTGCCCGGTCGCATTAAAGCTCAGAATCAAACTGAAAACAGAACAGGACGGCGATCCGAACACGGAGCACGCAACGCCCTTTACTTCAGCGATCGCTAGCCCTGCTTCCCAAGAGCAAGAACCAAGTGTGAACACACTCCCTCCTTCAGGGTGCAGCTTCTGAAGAGAGCACGAAATGGACACAACTTCATCTGGTTTCAAACAGTCTTGCTTTAACGATCTTGAAGTTGCTTTGAAAAACTAAAAATTACTTGTCGTGACTTTTAATGAGCGTTTGCACGGGTGGCTGCTCGGACCCCAGAGCGGCTCCGTGAGTGCGTGAGGGCCCCGAGGGCGGGGAGCACCCCGCGTCCTGCATTTTATCCTGAAACCACAGAGCGTCCCTGCCGGCAGCAACCCGATCGATTCCGGCACAGGACCAAGCAGACAGCGACAAACGAGCCGGCCGCTCCTTCTGCCCCAGGCCGCCGGGCGCTGCGTTAACCAGAGAGGCCGACGTCCCCACCCCGTGTCAGGTCGGTGCCCACAATCAACAGTGGGATCCCTGCCCAGGACCCCGGGCACCTTAGAACCTGCGTGACGCCCAGGCACTGAGATGCCTTCAGAGGCCCCTCTTGATTCTCAAGAGACACCCCCACCCCTTCCTTTCAGGCGTCCGCGTCCTCGGCTCCCGGGAGCTGGGTCCCCTCAGCTGGAGGAGCAGCCGGGACACAGAGAGGGACAGACGTGTCCCCCCGCCCCCCACAGGCTGACCTTCTCACAAAGCCCGTTTCAGCTCCGTCGCCCACGGGCCACAGGGCTGTTCGTCCAGAATCTCAGGTTGGATCCGAGGCCCCGCTTTCCCTGGGGAGCCTGTGGCTTCCCTCCGTTTCGGTCGCTTCCCAAGGTGGACAGGAGAGCGCCCCGCGGATAAGGGGGGGATGTGCTCATACCAGCGAGACAGCAGCACACAGGGCTCCCAAACGACCTCCACTCAGTGAAGCCTCTCGCTTACAAGGCCCCAGTGAAGTGATGGAATATTCGGTAGAATCATTCGGCAAATCGCACGTCAGGAAGGAGTCAGGATAATGGGAACAGAGAGTAAATGAGAGCTATTTTCCCCCGTTTTCATCTTATTTTTCTTATTTTTTTGTAAATCAGTTTTTTATTTAATAAAATCTTACTCAGAATGTGATATTCTTTTGAATGGGGGGGTTGTGGGTTTGTCCCCCAGTGGGGGGCATGCAGGAGGCGGCCAATAGATTATGTTTCTCTGTCACTGATGTTTCTGTCTCTCTATCCCTCTCCCCTCCTCTCTTTTTAAAATTCAGTAAAGGAGCCCTAGCCAGTTTGGCTCAGTGGACAGAGCATCGACCTGTGGACCAAAGGGTACCGGGTTCGATTCTGGTCAAGGGCATGTACTTTGGTTGCAGGCTCCTCCCAGGCCCAGGCCCTGGTCAGGGCGTGTGCAGGAGGCAACCCATCGATGTGTTTCTCTCACATCGATGCTTCTCTCTGTCTTTCCCTCTCTCTAAAAATCAATGGAAAAATATCCTCAGGTGAGGGTTAAAAAAAATAATAATAAAGGGAAAAAAAAGAAAGCAGAAAATGCGAACATTTTTCTAATTGCTGGCATAGTTCACATTAAAGAAATTAAATAAACTTTATACTCTTTTCTAAGCAAATTTAATTGTCATGCATCTCATGAGAGTGCCAACTTAATCCAAACCGTAAACCAAAATAAAAAATAAAATGCACTTTCCATATAGTAGCGGTTTAATGGTGTAAGTGTCTCTCTAGCTAAAAATATTACCACTGATGATGATTAATAGACACTATTTTCGGGTAATGTTCAGGCTAGATTATTCAGTATAATTATTTTAATTAAATCCATTAGCATATCTTTATATAAGATTACAAGAGCTATCGATGATACAAAATAAGTTTTCCTTGAATAATGTATGAAGCAATTATTAATTTACATATTTCTCGGGAAAACGCACGTTAAAAGGATTCCACTTGGAGGTTTGAGCTAAAATATATAGGGCCCGCCATCCTCCATCCTCCGCTCAGACGGAAGTGTTCCGTCGCTGGGAGGTGCAGGCACCGCCTCGGGAGAGCCAGGACGGGTCGAGAGGCCTCCGCGGCCTCCACATGGGCAGACACTGGTCACCTCTCCAGACGGCCCAGCGGGGAGGCGGCGCAGATTCTGGATTGGGGTGGTTTCCCACAGCACCCTGGTCGGACATGTGTGTTCGGTTCTTTTGGTTCAGACCCGGGACTGGGACGGCTGGGTCACCTGTGTGTTTATAAAGGTCCTGGCTGCGAAGACACTGGAAGCGAAAGCAAACTCCCGTGGAAATGCAGGCGTCAGCGGCGGGGGCCGTGGTCCCCACCACAGGCTTCCCGAGACCCCGAGCAGCAGGGAAGCGGTGACACAGGACGGGAGCCCAGACCAGGCCACGCCTGCGGGTCACTCCCCGTCTGAAGGGTCTCCCGCCGCCTGTGAGGAACAGCAAGGGCGGGGGGGGGCCTCTGGGGGAGGGAGGCAGCAGGAGGAAGCCCACAGCCACCTGCCTGTCACTCGCACAGAGGACCTGCGTCACCCCCGCCGCCTCCCACCGCCCACCCACCTCAGACAAACCGAGAGCTGCTGGTCAGGGGGTGGAGAGGCCCTTTGGGGAGAGGGAACTGCAAAAGCAAAGAGGGGCCCGGCCGGCTGGGACCCCGGCATCCCCATCCCACTCCCGTACCGACCGCAGGCCACGTGCACATGCACCCCGGCTGCCCTGCACCCCAGACGCAAACCCACCCACAGCGGGTGGAACTGTGGCCCCCCCCAAACATGTCTGAGTCCCACCCCGGCCCCCGGGAACGGGAACTATAGGGAAACAGAGTCGCTGCAGATGAAATCAAATTCAGATGAGGGTGCACTAGGTGAGGGGCCTCCCGCCCAGGGCAGTGTCTCCCACGGGGGAGCAGGGGGCTGGGCGCAGAGGCGCCGGCAGGAGGGGCGCCTGTGAAGGCAGGTGGATGGGTGGGGAAGCCAGCAGCCCCCGGGCTGGGAGACAGAGAAGGCCCCCTGAGTCCTCGGAGGGAGCACACCCTGCCGACCCCACAGGTACCTGCTGGTTGAAGCCGCCCAGATTGTGTCTGTTTTGAGGGCAGCTCTGGAAGCTCCTCCCCTGGTCCCGGACCCCAGGCAGGTCCTCCCACCAGGTCCTCCCACCAGGTCCTCCCACCAGGTCCTCCCACCGCAAGTGTTTGCTTTCGCTGCCGGTCCCTTTCCAACAAGGAGCTTCGTACAATACAAACATGATCAGCTGCTCCACCCTGGGTCTGAACCAAAAGAACTTAAAACACGCGTCCCAACCAAAACGGGGACAAGAATGTCCCCAGCAGTGCTATTCCCACAACCCCACAGGGGACCCACCCGCTGTCCACCGGCGGAGGAATGGAGGGCGCGCAAAACGGGCAATGGAATGCGATGCCCCATCAAACCCAAGTACCGGCACCTCCACTACGTGGCTGAACCTCGAAAACATGCTACGGAACAGAAGCCAGACACAAACGCCACACACTGCGTGACATCATTGAAATGACGTGTCTGTGGCTCAGGGGTGGCCAGGCTGGCGGGGGGCGTAGGGGGGAAGGGCGGGGGCTGACCCTGAGGAACAGGCGATGGAAATGGATACAGAGTGGTGACAGGGGCA